AGCTTACCAGTAAGCCAGCTAATTATTGCTTTATGACTCGGAACCCTGCACTCATAAATCCCACCCAAACTAGCGCACTAAATAATTACACAAAACTAAAGCCAAAGTCGTTGGGGGGGGAGGAGGTAGCATTGCGTGCCATTTCCACCTGAAAAGCGTAAATTATAGCGCTATTTATTTATGCTGTAAATGCTGCTGCTACCTACTACTGCTACTAACTACTGCTGCTGCTGGCTTTTATTGCCCTGTGCCAGTTGCATTTGTTTAAAATACCATTTGACAAACATCAAAGCCGTTAAATGTTACTTTGACATGTCGCACACGAGACTCTCCAGGGGCAGCGGCAAAAAGGCAAGGAGAGTGGGTGGGCTTATGGCCAATTAGATGAGTGAAATGTGCCAAGCGGCAACGGTGGCAGCGAGGGATCATTATAACTACATATAACCAGTTAGATCGGTGGGGGAAATAACTATATATATTTATATACAAAGTGAGTAAGCCCCCCGCCACTTACAATGCAATTTCCCAACTCTGAGCAATGCACAAACGTCGGTTGCTGGGGGAGGGAAGAAAGAAATGAGCTCTTGACCAAGTTTTTCGATTGGAGTGACTGCAGGGAATAGGAATATTTCGTTTCACAAATAGATTTGCAATTACATTAAAGTGTGCCCCGTCGTTTATTTTTCTCCTTTCGCTCAACGGATAAACAAAATGACGCTCAGAGCACCGGATACGGAAATAAAGCGTCAAAGCTCTGGCAGGGCCACAAATAAATGGCTCTGTATAGCGAATCTAGTTTGCTGACACGGCACAAAGGAAGCTCCCTCTCTCTATATCCCATTCTTTTTCTGCGGAAAAGGGATTTCCCCCCTGTACCCTGTCATCGGATATAGACATCGCATATATAGACAGTTTTCTCCACAAGTCCAGCAGCCCTGCAGGTCATACGGCATAGAGATATATATATATATGTCGAAAAGCCAAAGCTAAATCCTGACCAACTCCCCATTTTCAGCCTTCTTTTTCGTTCTTCTTATTCACGTTTTCCCAGGCCAGCCCCTTTTTAGGGGGGCGTTGCCATGGAAAAGCGTTTTGTCAAAGCGACAGGTGCTTAAATATTTAAAAAGCCAATGCCCAGTTGCTGCTGCTGCTGCTGTTAGGTGTTGGCCAAAAGGTAAAAATAAATGATGCTCCGGGATAATGGAAGGCACAGGATAGCAGGCCTGAAAATAGAAACTGGCCCGTGACCAAAAGCCAAATGGCCTGGAAAGTCCACGACTTTAAGCTGGAAATTCTATTAGTTTCTACTACAAGCGGCATGAAAATGCAAACACAAACACAAATCGATTCTGACAGGGGCGAGCTTCTGATTCCGATTGTGCACTTCGAGCTGCTAATGAGCCGTGACATTGATGATGACTCGGGCATGCTGGAATCGGCGGATCATTTGTAATGTGTCATGATTATGCAATATTCGTGCAACAATTACCGCGAGGCATTTGCATAAAAAAGCGGACGCCCGTCAGCCAGTTCGAGTGGCAATTTTCCACTCAGAAGCGGGCCATAGCTCGGGCTATATAGCTCTCTAGCTGGTCGTTTTGGTCAACAGGAAGCTGCTGAGTTGGCTAAGACAAGGCAAAAAGGCATATAGCCAAGCCAAGTCAAGACAAGACTCTTTTTCCCAGATTCACTGGGGAGCTGCTGCGCATGCGCCGCGCCGAGTGACAGCCCAGTTTGGACTGGCAGACTGCAGACAGAAGACAGATCCCGGGACAGAAACGGAGACATAGCGAACCGGCCGGCTGCCGGCGGCTGTGACAGCTGTTGATTGATGAATCCTACAGCCTGCCCCCGAGGCTGCCCCACGGGTGTCTCAAGAGTCAACCAACCATCTCCCCTGTCTCCTCCCGTATTATCCACCAGCCAGTTTCCAGTCTTGCCGATGTCCAGTCTTCGACGATCTGCCACGGCCGGCCTCTCGAAACTCTCTCCGCCAAAAGATTGATGATGACGCAAGCCTCTTGGTCGAGCTTCTCCCCGTTTTATAGTCGCGCTTGTGCAATAAACACTTCTAATTGTAATTAATGAGGCGATTGTTTAGTTTTTATGTGTTGATTTTTCTGATTTACCGCCCAGCGATGCAGTGCGTCCCAGCAAACTGTCCACCGACTAAATGGAGCAGTGAACCTGAGACGATAATCAGCAGAACCTTTAAACTTGGTTAAAACTTTAAATACCCTTTTTAAAAACCCTATTTCTGCTGCACTTCTAGCCGGTTTTATACCCTCTTGAAGGGTATAAAATAAAAGCAGAAGGCATTGCCCATGACTTGGCCAAGTTCTTGTTCCCGTTCTGGTTCTCGTGTGCCGCTGACTTGTTTTTTGTTTTTGTATCTGTTGGTCGTTACATTGAACTTGATGGCCATTTTGCTTGGGTCTAGGCCCTTAGTTCCTCCACCGTTTACTACATTTTACTCCTTGAGCCAACTTCTTGGGGTCTTCAGCTATCGACGCGGATTTATCTTAAATGCTGCGTTTACCGGGCCTGTCTTTACAGCTCCTGCTCCTCTCCCTCCCTCTCTTCAATACTCCTTTAACTTACCATTCTGGCCTTTTTAGCTTCGTGTTTTCGTATATTGGCAAACACTTTTCGGCCTGGCTCAAATTAATGGCTCCGAGGTGCGCCTAATGATCCCCACAAACGGCAAGCGGCAAGCGGCCAGGAGTTCGCTCCAATGAAAATGTCAGCCCGGGCGCTTTTTATTTGCTCTAGCCATGCCATTTTGGAGTTGGCTTGTCTGTGGCAGGAGTACTGCGAAATATGTTTAACAAAAATCAAAATAATTGCATTACTGACGCGTCACGCCAGGGGGGCGGCTATTGGCCAAAGGGGGCGTGGCATGTGAGTGTGAGTGAGTGTATGGGAGAGAGTGTGTTGGCAGAATGTTTTGTTGACATGGCGCTTTGCATGCGACCCGCATATAAATCGGCATCTGGGGAGGGCAACTAAAAGGGGTCAAGCGGCTAAACAAGTTCCAAGAAAAGTAATAGAAACGTTTCAACCGGGGCAGTTGCAGTTGCAGTTGCAGTTGCAGTTGCATATCCACATACATACATACAGATATCGAAACGATATGGGCAATCTACACTGCACTGCACTTTCCCCCACGAATTGATGGGGCCATTGTGTTGCTCTTGTCTTGACTCTTTTGTCAGCATTAACATACGTAAGTGTCAGCTGCATGTTGCTACTGTACAAGCAGCAACAAGCTGGATGTTGCTGCTGGGCTACCAGCCGATGTTGCTGCTGCTCTTGCTTTTGCTGCTGCAGTTGCTGTTGCAAGGGGGCAAAGAGGCCAATTGATTTATCGTGACAATGAGTGCAGCTCCCGAGCTTCGCTATCGATGTGTAAATTTGAATTTCGTGGCTCATAAAGCGGACAATGGAGGCGGCGGTGAAAGACAAATGTGGCAGCCACAGATTGTTGTCGGCAACATGTTGATGTTGTTGCTGTTGTTGCTGCTGCTGCTGCTGCAGCTAGCTGTTGCAAAAGTGAATGCCCTCTTAGTGACGTCACGAGTGCAATCCAGTTCCAGTTTTCCCCATTTCTCATTGCTCATTTCTCGTTTCTCGCCTGGCTGCAATTATCGGCGGGTCCCAAGTTGCAGCGCGAACGATGAGCAAAATACAAAATCCCGGAGAAATATGAAAAGCAAAACAAACTGCACGAAATCAAAACAAAAGCCCGGGCAAGAGGGGCACTATCGAGTGGAACGAACTCTGTTGCACTCTACGGCTTTCAACGGCCACTGTGGGAAAGGCAGTGTGCCGGGTCGACGGGTGTTGAAGTGGAACGTAGCGAATGAGCAGACCGATCGGATGGTTTGGTGTGTGGAGGGGGTGTGCAGTAACCGGGGGATACTATAGTATACTACGATGACTAAATGCAACAAGCGGCGACTTTCGTATTCGTATGTGTTGGTTAGCTAAAGTTGATGAGCAACTTCAATGGCAAGTGGCAGCGGCAGCAGCAGCAGCAACAGCAACAACTTATCTGCAGCAGCAACATGGCAGTGTATGTGGCACACAGGCAGCAGCAGCTGGCTACACAAAGAAATATATCAATTTTAGTGGATTTATTTAACTTTAATCCTAATTGTTCAACTTTTAGTACAAACTTTTAAGTTTTCTTTTTCTGTAACAATAAAGTCGAAGTTTAAAGCACTATAAATGCTGATTTCATTTCGATTTTACCTATTTACCCATATGTATATATATTATATATGCAAGGTAAAAGCTTTTAAGAGCACCTTTATTTTCCGTGTAAAGGCTGGATGTTGCTGCTGTGCCGAGTGCCGAAGCACTCGCAAGTTGCACAAACATGTTGCTCACTGGCTCCGCGACATGATTCTGAGACGCAGATATAAAACCGAAAAACAACAGCAGGAGCAGCAGCAGCAGCAGCAGCAGCAGCAACGACCTGAAAAGCAGAAACATCGCGGATTGGGGAAGCGAGAACAAAAACAATGTTGGGCTAGGTTCCTCCAATGGGCTCCCCAGTGCTCCTTAGTACTCCTCACTGGTCCACACTCCACTCCGCTCCATCGTCATTATTATCATCTGGTTTTGGTCTGGACAATTCTCCTGCCTTCAATCCGGCGAACAACTATTGTCCATAGCTGCTTATTTCAGTTGTTGCCTTTTGGTTAAGGCTCTTGTCATTGTGGTTGTTGTTGCTTTAATTTAGATGCATCTCGAACAGTTTTTGTTTTTGTTACTTGCTGCTGTCTGCTGTCTGCTGGGCAAACATGGCCAAAGCCATGAAAAGAAACTTTCATAAGATAAACAAAAGTTATATATGCATATATATGCATGGACACATATGAGAGAGTTTGCTAGGCTTAAAGGGTTTTCCACAATCGGGGCGAATGTCCCCCAGTACATATCTTCCCCTGTCTTATTTTCCCAACTAATTGATTGTATTTTTCTTTTCATTTCAGGTGAGTTTCCCCTTTGCTGATGCTTGAAAATCTGGTTAACAGTAAGTCGTAAATTATATGATTGCCCACTCCTCCATATTTCTGAGTTTCTGGGTGCGGCCACATTTCTTTTTTTCCTTTTTTTTTTATTTTTTGCTTGTGAAAATCACAATTCTCAATGAGACAGGAAACAAGGAGCGTAAAAATGGTTGAACCAGGTACTTTATTCATTTATTGCCTTTTTTTTTAGCGAAAATTGCACTGGCAATCAACTCATTAGGTTAGGTCGCAGGGGAAAACAAAAACAGCGAGAACAAAGGCGGCTTGGGAGAAACCGCGTTACGCATTTTTAATTGCCAACTTGGAGCTGCCAGACAAAAACAAAAGCGAATAAATAAAGAACAAAACACCGCTGGGGCAATTAAAAAATTAAACAAAATTTCTGCATCAGCTGATGGGTGTGTTTTCGCTGCGGGAATAAGTAAAAAAAAAAAAGTGCTCAGGGCAATGTCAACGAGGCAGCAGAAGAAGCCGCAGCATTTCCTGCCCAAGAATTTCCCTCCTTCAACTTGTGATTCGAAAAACAGGGGCGTGTTTAGGAAGTGCTATTCAAGGGGGTTCCATGAGTTTAAGTTGAGTGTTTACATAGGGGTTTAAGGTACTAAAACTGGCAGCTTAAAAAGAAGTTCAGCTGTCTTTCTATCACCATCTAAACAAACAATATAACTATATATCTAGAGATATATAAATCAATTTGTAATAAAGAATTAAAAAATATTTTTTTAGGAAGTTGCGCTCTTCGATAACATATAAATTATAATTTTTCCTAGATTAAATTTAATGCACTTTGCTTGTTTGGTTTTCCATCCCCGGAAATACAGCCACTGCTTTCCAGGTTCGATGTGAACGTGGCTGTGTTGCCGTAATTTATGCGCCTCTTCGACGCGCTTGCCAATTGCTTCCTCGCGCTGCGTTTTCCTTCTTACTTTTTGTTTTTGTTTTTTGCATTTTTTTTTTTCCAAGAAGCAGCCGGCATCCAGCCATCAAGCCATCCAACCGCCCCCGCGCCACATTGCAAAGATTTCTTTATTACTTGGGCACGTTCGTTGCTTTTTTTTCGTGCCGCTCTTCTTTTTTTTTCTGTTATTATTATTGTTGTTGTTTGGGGTCGAGGCCGGTCATTAATATCCACGCATGGAGTTCACTTCAGTTCGGTGGAGCACGTCCCCCGTTGTTCCACCCACTCCATCCATGCCATCTTATTCCATCACATCACATCCCATCCCATCCCAGATTCGTTCCAATCTGAATCAGCTGTATGCATAATATTTGTTGTTTGCTGATTCTGTCAGCGTCTTGAGGATCGGATCCGCTTCGTCACTCCATCGTCGTCGTTGTCGTCGTAGTCTTCTTCAGCGATTCTTGTCCAGGTCAGTTACTACAAAATATGGGGAGATGTTGCTGCTGTTGATGTTGCTATTGCTGTTGCTGTTGTGATGTTGCTGCTGTGGCTGGCATACGTGAGTGGCTTGGCCAGGCGATATCTTTGGAGTTCACAACTCCAGAGGCTGCACGACTTATCAACTTGGTTTCTGTTTCTATAGCTTCTTGCTATAGGTTCTTTTCCTTCCCTCAGTCGATGCGACAACAATCACGAATGCAGCTCGATAATGACAATGGTAATGATGACGATGGTGCCACTGTGACTGTGTCCTAAATGCTGATAATGATGTTTGTTTGCCGGCGATGACAATGGATCTATATACATATGGTGTCTTGTCTGTGTTATATACTACATACTGCCTTGAAAATCTGATAATTGTAAATAATAATACGATTAATAAGAATTGTTAGTGGTTACTCACTTTATGGTTTACCAGCAAGATTATGCCTTCACATGTGAAACCCATTTAAAAGAAGATAATCTCTCTCTTTTCCTAGCAAACTTAACCCTTTCCTTTGGTGGTTTTTTGGGTTCGCTGTCCTTTGGTCAGGTGGCAGTGGCTTTTAGGAGTTACTAGCTAGCCATTTTCCCTGCTGCCCTGCTAACTCTCGGTCTTAATCTTGGCCAGGTTGTTGTTTCTCCATCGCTGTTGCTGCGGCTGCTGCTGCCACTATTGTTGCTGTCTTTTTTGACCGGCCGGCCGGCATTATATCTCATTACAGAGATCAGCATAAATAAGCAGTGAGCACGCCGCACCACCAGCTCTGCTCCTCCAGCTCTACCATCAACTCCAGGTCCAACTCCGACATCATCAACAACAACGGCTGAGGCTGAGGCTGAGGCTAAGGCAGATTCAGACAACAACAGCCCACAGCCGGAGGAACGAACGAGCGATTAAGCGATACATTCAGCCATGTTCGTGTATTCCCCACAGAGAGTAAGAGACAGAGAGAGAGAGATGGGGGAACAGAATGGGGCATGGGATTGGGATGGGATTCGGAATGGGTACGGGTATGGGTATGGGTATGGTGCAGGGTGAGAGATGGGGACACAGATGGAGAAAGGGCACAACGCTTGCGTACTCGCCGAGGCAATTGAACGAACTCGATTGCAGCGCGTGAAGGTGGACATGACGATCCCGTTCTCCACTTGCCTCCTCCCCAACTCCCCTTGCCCCGTTGTATATATACAACATACATATACCCATTCCCGATCTTCTGGGGCCGTCGTTTTCAAGCGAGCAAAATAGAATTTGTTATTGTTGTTGAGGCAGGGCAGTTCCTTGACCACATGCGTCATCATCATCGCGTTTGCCGTGTGCAAAAAACATGATCATTACGCGATTCCCCCGATTCCCGACTGACTGGACATGGAGCGGCTGCTGATTCAGATTCAGCATCATCAGCTCTATGGCTCCGGCCTCATAATTCCCCCCGCCAACCTCCTTTCAGTCTCGTTCAGGCGTTTTTAATGATGCGTCAGAATATTGTTTACGCATCATTTTACATGTCGGCAAATGGGAATGGGTTGCATTTGCAGTTGCAACCTCATAGATACTCTGCTTCTCTACCGAAGAGTCTATATGTGTGTGTTTGTTTGTTGCCCGGGGGCAAGTGCTGAATAGATGCTGCTTTTATTCTTCAGCAGAGAGCTTGGCCATAAAATTATGAAACCCCTCTGCAAAGAGGTTTGCCAAATTCCATCGTGATGTGTGCATTAAAGCACGAATTAGCCGCCGGTTATGGCTACAAAGTTGCCTGCCCAGGTACGTTTATCTGGCAGATGCATTGCCATCCTTATTAGCCGGCAATTTGTGCCATGAAAAAGAAAATATCGAAAAGGTCTCAAAGCAAATGCTGTAATCCTATGCCCTGCCCAGCCCTGCCCTGCCCAGTCCAGCCCTGACCTGCCTCTCGCTTCACAGATGAAACAACCTCAAAAGTGCAAGTTTAGTAGTTATGATTGAGCTCTCTGTTTTTGGGCCAAAAGTAATAATTCCAATAAAGTTTTCCTCTAGCCCAGGGTTGTCCAGAGTGTGTGCTGAAGAAAAAGTGTTGCCATGACGCCGGGTGCAAACAATATCGAGGTGAATGTGCAACAACTGCACTTTGTTTACATTTCTCCTGCTGTGTTACTTTTCCCCACTTTGGCATTTATGCTTAAGCTTCTGCTTATGCTACAGCTCCGGCTCCTGTTTTCCTAGCTGCTGCTGCTGTTGTTGTTGTTGTTGTCCTGGCTGTGGAAATTAAGCGAAAAACTTGTCAAAGGCATGTCCTGCCCTGCACCAGCGATCCCCCAAACCACCCGCTTGCACCTCGCATAAAGTCAAGTGCGGCGGGCGGGGGAAAAGCAACTTTTCTATCCAGCCCTTCGGTGCCAGCACAGAGAGAAATTCAAAGGGTTAAAATGTTAGGTAATGTCTACAGATAAGGAAGTGATAGATGGATGACAAAGGATGCCTCTTACTATTTTCTTATGTCTTTAGTCATAATGAAATGAAATCATGGAAAACCTTCTCTTGCATTTTAGATGCCTGTAGCTGACTCTTGATTACTTTTGTATCGTTTTCGACTTTTTTCTCAGTGAGCTTACTGCTTACTTCCCCTGTTTTATTTTTGCCTAGGTTGACATGCAATCCCAGGTACATGTGGAGAGTTCCCTGCCGATTCTTAACTGGGTTCAATGACATACAGGATAAGCAACAGCAACATCGGGCAGCCTACAATCCACCACCACTCTAGCATATAGTACTACTATGTATGTATAAAGTATATATAGAACAACAACAACAACCGGCATTAACTTCGCTGGGGCAAGAGCACAAAACGTAAACGTTGCAAAAAGGCGGCAAGCAAAGGCAAACCCGAAAACAAAGCCATGGCTAAAACGTCCAGAAGCAGGAGCAGGCCAGAAATGGGTAGGATGATGATGATGGCTAGAATGGGATGGGCAATGGCAGCGGCAGGGGTAGGGAACGGAGCAAAGTGGCAGTAGATCCATGCTGCACTTGAGGTTAAAGGCAGCCAGAAACCGAACGAAAACCAAACCAAGTTGAGTTGAGCTGGGGCAAACCTGTGTACAAATACTCGACATGCACGCCGCCCATTTGCCACTCCACTCGGTATCCTGTTTGCCTAGGCACCCATCTCCATCTCCATCTCCATCTGCAACTCCCATTCCCATCCACCGAATCCTTATCCATATACCCATCCCTTTTGGCCATCCGTAACCCCCATATGTTCGAGTTGAATGGATTCCTTTTGCTTCGGTAGACCGGCTTTTCTTTTTCGCTTTATTTTTTTTTTTTTCGGCGCTGGCGAATTTGCGGCAGGACCTTTTGGCTCCTGAACCCTACTGCTATTTCTCCAACAGTTTTCATTTGCCTTGGCCAAGATTATTAAAATTCCTACGATATGAATCGAGAAGTTCAATAAGGTCTTGAATTCCTGATCTCAGATGTATGAAGAAAAGTCGGCGAGTGGAAACGCAAAGCATACACCAGGGGGCCGTATGAAAAGTTTGCTTTTGGAATACCATTGTTTACCTAGGCCGGCTCTTCTTCTGCTTCAATCTCAACGCCTTGACTTATTGCATTTCTCAATTTTGGTTGCCAGGACAACGCTTAACGGGTCCTGATCCCCCAACTTCTCCTCATACTGTGGGTGGCAAGCTAAAAAGTCAAAAAAAAAAAAAAAGGAAACCTGTGGAGGGAGCTTAAATAAAACATGACCATTACCGCTGCATATTAAATAATATATTGAGCCGGCCATTAGCTGAGATCGACGCTCGCTGCATTTTCATAACAAAACAATTTACAAAAGGCCACGGCACAAAACCGGAAATCCTTTCCAACTCGCATATGGCACGCAAAACGAAGGCAACTTTTCCACTCGCCAATGTTGCCGTTGTTGTTGTTGTTGTTGTTGTTGTTGTTGTTGGGTTTTAGGTGCCCCGAAGCAATTGTTACTGTTGCTGTGTTGCCGCGGAAAATTGCCGCTTTTAATATTACCTTTTATTTGCAATTTCTGTTTTTTGTTGGAGCCTTTTGTAATAATGCAGTGCGCATGTAATAGGAGCCAGGTGCCAGGGTGCCGAGTCGCCTCCATGCATTTATATTTGTTGCCGTAGTCGTAGTCGTAGTCGTCGTATTCCCCGTTGCAGCAATCATTTCCACCTAACCGCCCGCCTGCTGTTGTCATCTGCCACAATTTGTACGCTGTTATTAACTGACATGCTTGCCAGGAGGAGGATTATTTTTTGTTTGTTAGTTTTCCCTGATTTTTCTTTCACTTTTTTGTAGTTAGTTTGTATTTTCCCGTTTCAATATTAATGGCATGATATACGTTTACAGGGCAATGTAATAATTTACAGAGCCTGGCAATCCATTCTTATTTGGTTTTCACCCCATCGATTTATTTTAATAATATACTTCGAGTACCTGCAATCGGGCAAGTCCCCTCTCTATATCTTTTTCTATATCTGCCAAGAGTTTGAAGTTTTCTAATCAGACATTGAACTGCCAAAATAGGCATGTATATACCTGCTGCTGATTGGCAACGATACGGTTGAAGTTTACTGTACCCTTATCTGATGTTGACCTTCAGCTGGGAAAAACTGCGCTTTTGCACCGACTTTGTGCCTTTGTGCTTAGATATAGATATGCCAGAATTGAAAGTAAGCCAACAAATCCCCGTGCATCACAAATATAAAATTGACAAAAGCAGAGCCAATCAAACAAAGAAACTTATCGCAAACCCGATAATATATAGGGGGGAGTTGGGTATTATAGGGGGGTTTTTCTATGATTTCGCAGGGGCGGAAGACCTTTGGCAGACTTCTTGGCAGCCCGGCAAACAAGTCGGTAAACAATCGAAATAGTTATATTTGCTTTTCGCTTTACGATGCAAATTGTTTTGGGGGACCGAGTGACTGCCTTATCAGTGGCATGCCATAAAGTAGATGTTTTTATATGCACTGAAAAACTCGCACCCAATCGTATGACAGAATGTTTATATTTATACCTTGTTGTTGAATGGAAATGCGAAATGAAAATGGCTAAAGAGGCAATGGCAATGGGGTGGGGAGAGTTCATTGTCATCAAGGTCGTTTGGGCACTTTTCGCCAGTCGACTGTGTAAAACGCTGCTTAGACTTAGGAGTCTCCTCTCTCTCTCTCTCGCCAGACGAACTTTTTTTTGATAAGCTCATCTAATGAAAATAATAAACTGCTGTCAGACGCTAAAAAAAAAAACACAAATCGAATCAGGTTCAATGCACTAGACATGTGCAGCTTACACTACAATTAACTGCGTTAACATGCAAATTAAATTTAGTTTAATTAAATTATAAACATTCAAATCACAAAGCGAAGAGTCAATGCACTTGCCGGCCAAAGAAATTTCATTTAAAACAAAACAAACAGCGGGAAAAATAAAACAAAAAGCGATTCGCTACGAATTGAGATTGAAACGAGTGTCGATCGAGGCGCTTGTCTCTTTCTTTTACCCTCCCGCTGACTCTTTCTCTTAGTCTCTCTTACTCTCTCTCTCTGAACTCTGTCTAACCTCTCAGTACCCCCAAAAAATCCCCATTTAAGTGGGTTTAATCTGTTGTCAAAGTTTCATTGACTCGCTTAGGCAAAAACTGCAATTAAAATGCGAAATTTTTGCAAATGCTGGACAGCGAGCGAGAGAGATGGCGCGACTGTGTACGAAAGAGAGGGACGATCGGCGGCAAGCGGTTAAAGATTATTTACGAGCCGCTTGTTAGTCACGTTTTTGCAGCAGACGTTGCCCAGAGTTCACTTGATTCGACTGACCGGCAAACACGGCTTCGAATGCAAAACCAACAACCCAATAAAAAAACATATAGTATAAGGTATAGTAGAGTATACTATAACAAAATCGAAATAAAAAAACTGAATTGAGGCAAACGAATTGGGACAAAAACAAATCAAATCAAATGACACAAAAATGGCAATTTGCAAGGCAAATGGCATAGAATGGAATGAAATCGGAATCCGAAGAATTTCCTTATAGAGGTCATTGCTGATACGTGCTTCTTCTTCTATTTTTGATACAATACTAAAATACCCAAACCGTTAGCTGCAAATGACCTTCGAAGTCTAGACGTATTTGACAAAAAAACACAAAATACAGGCGCACACTCGAAAAAATGAACACAAACACACTCACCCAGATACTCAGACACAAATAATGCGTGATTCTGTTGAAAACTCATCGAGTTTATTCAACTCGCCACCACCCGCCCCCCAGTGGATGACAGAGTGGGCGTTGAGCGCTGGGTGGGCGAATTTACGAGCGTGGCAAGGACACGACCCCGCCAGTTTCACTTTTATCGGTGGCAGCAATTAGTGGCAGTCAGATAAGGGAATTACTCGGCCGCAGCCATGAAATGTTTGATGTTTATAACGACTATGTTTATAACGCTGCCAGCCAAAAACTAAGCCCTGCAAATTCTAAACCCAAACTTAAACTTCCCCTCTAAAAAACAAAACAATAAACAGCCGCCAAATCCTTTTTTCAGTCATCCCAACCCTCTTCTGGGTTAATGTTGGCCTAGAATGCCTGGCCTAGCCTGCCTGCCTGCTGGGCTTTTTATGATTTAAGATTTAACTTTTTGCCCTCGATGCGTGCCAATGACACAATAAAAGTTGCCACAGGCAACTCAGCCGGAGGAATCCTTAAAACGAGCTAGTAGCACGCAGGTCCCGAATCGCAGACATTTACGCACCTTGCCATCCTTCGTCTGCCTTTGGGCCATGAAAGTTGGCTGGGTAGAGGCGAATGGAATGGGTTTAGGGATAACGCACGGCTAACAATCGAGAGAGCAGGCAAGAAGTTTTTCAAGAAAAGAAAAACAAAAGGAAATTGAGCTTAACAGACTCCAAATTGGAGACCCGACTTGCAGATACCTTTTAATAATTTTAACTTTATGTATTTTCAAAATCTTTTTTATAGATATATATGTATCATATTTTCAATATTATTTATTAAGTATATATCCTTTTTATCCTTTCAGCTTAAATATTAATCTTTAATCAATTTTCCCTTAGAAGACCTCCAATTTCTTAAGCTTAGTACACATTTCTTAAGACTTTTCTTAGCCAAATAAACACAGCCGACGACTACAGCTTCTTAGCTAACTGAAAAGTGCGTGAGCCGGACTCGTTCAATGACTTTGGCCTGGTCTCTTGTGTGTATCTCTTGTTATTTTTGTTTTGGCCGACTGGCCCAGCAGGCCATCTGAGGTCTGGGGGTTCGGGGCTTTCTGGCTTCAGGCCTCAGCCTCCTTGGCCCAGTGTCAATGGCATTAGCGGAATCGAGGTTGTTGGACTTGGCAAACGCCAACGCAGAGTCCTCGTACTTGCTCTCATTCGCGTCCTTTTCTTTTTTGGCGGCCCCTTACTGTGCCATATTTTTAGCCTACTTTGCGGCGCTGACCCCGCACGGTCGCCCAAGTATATTTAGAGGTCAATTATCTCAGGCGTGGCCAAATGGCAATCCATCATTGGCCAACGCCCGTGCGTATGCAATGCTTTTCAGCTTTCAACTGCCCACTCACCTCCACGACTAATGATGAGTAATTTCAGTTCATTTTCAGTCGGGCCACGAGCATCTTTAATAACAATTACGATGGGCTAAAGTAGCGAGCGAGATTTTATCGCAAGCCTTTTTTATTTTTCGGCTCGCCAAGGTGGATTAAGGGGGAATTGGTAGAAGGTAGAAGGGTTGCGGGTTATTCAACTTTTGATTAATTGCGGCGCATGCATGACAAATGGCTGACGCGCAGTGCACTTGTAATTGTTTTTGCCCGCCAGTCCATTCAATTAACTAAATTTATAACTCCGAACGGGCATCTTAGTCATGCATTCGACTTTTGTTTTAGGCGCTCTCCATTCTCAATTAAAACCCGTCCGATTTCCCAGAAAAGCAACTGACTTCCCATGCAATCGCCAAGGCAACTCCTGCATAAGGCCAGTAATTAGCCGCAGTTAACACGGGCAATTAGGGCCTGCCGCCAGTATTCGGCAGTTCGTGAAATCATGTCAATGCCTCGCATTTATCGTTAATCAACGGCCGGCAAACATGAAAATGGCAAAAAGGAAAACCCATGGCGATACGAATCAGAAAGAAAGAAAATTCACTGCATATTCGTTTGGCCACCATATCCGCAGTGGTAGTCTCAATTTGTTTGCTCACGAAAGTCGGCTAACAATTTGACCCCGACATGGTAAACTTGGAAATGGGAACACGAGGCTATCTCTCGGTGCCTCTACTGTCCTTGCCACATGCGAATGGCTGGATGGGTTGAGGACTGGGGGGTTGTAGTTGGGTTTTAGCATGGTTTGTGCCAGTTTTTGACATTTTTCCCTGGCCTCCTGCTGCGACCAGTGTTCAATGCCAGCGACTATACCATGAAAAACCGAAAAACAGCAGGGAGTGGAAATCCCCTTGTTTGAATACCTGGAACTTGCAACAGTCATAGGAATTCAACTGGGTTTTTCCCCCCAAAGCAAATAATATGAAAAATATATTTATTTGATTTCACATCGGAGTGAAAAGTTTTGGCACAAATTTTAATTAATTTTGTACCTCTCGTATCTTTTTAGTTGAGTGACATGAAGTCTATTATCCCGCATAGTTCCAGTGCCCCGACC